AAATAATTGCTAATGAGAGGAGAATTTAGTTTTAGATATTTTATCTTCTATTGGAAAATTTTGTTTTAAAATTATACAGAAGGTACATAAATCCAGATAAATATAACCTAATTCGAGCATGTTTTTGCAGTGAAATAGTTGTAACAATTGTAAAGTGCTTTGTGTGACCTTGGTCTTTGAAATGTGCCAAATAACGATTACTTACTGTACTTACTTACTAACCAGCAGTTTTCAAGGTGATACTGCAGAGCTTTCAGACCCAAGCACTAACATTGTGCATCTTTAAGTGGTGTATATCCATTGAGATGAATAAACAACACCAGCTGGACTATAGTTACACGTCAGGTCTGTGGAGAGGCAAGCGCATACAGTACAAATGTATTGCACCTTTACAATAATCTAAATTACAGTACTGTGCAGCAATCTGGACTCAGCTTATGTTCTGCTTAGGAAATGTGCAATATAAATAAAGGAGATAGGATTGAACAAGTATTTGTTTATGGCCTTTATGCACGGATTTGTTTTGCGGAGGTTGGCGTTTGGTTTGTTTGTCTTTGTGGCAGTTTAGACGCTGGTTTCCAAAGACGCCTTAGGAGCAGCTTTGAAAAAGGAGCCAAATGTGAAGTCAGTCAGGGAGGCCTATTGGCCATGTTAGAAGTCTACTGTACATGTGAATTATTTACTTGTTGTCCAGCAGGAAATGAGCAACGATAACAAGCTTGGGAAAGAAAAGTAGAGAAAGCAAACAGATGCTATCGGAGCGGTCGTTTTGGCCTTCTGTCCTTCCATTCTTCACGGCGGACATTTTCTCCTGGGAGCAAAACTGCGAGATTCTGAAATATAATTAATCTCTGCCAGAAATTACATGTTAATTATACTTCACCGTGGAACTGTAATTAAATGTGTGTTTAAAATGATAAAATACTGAATAGGTACTGAATTGTGATTCTTAAACTTTGTGAATTGCTTTCGGACTCCCTTGAAACAAAGGACTGCTGATCTCAATGGGACTTTCCCGGTTAATCCATGACTGTTTTTTATTTTTATTTTTTGATCTGTATTGAAAAATCAGCAATTTTATAATGTCCTTTAGACCAGTGCTGTTGAAGTTGGAGCTGAGAGCTGATTGGCTGGTGCAGTGGTCACCCACCCTGAAGCTCTGTGGTTATGCTATAGCCAAACATTCACACATGTGAATACTATACTTCGGTCACAGACTAGAACCAGTTAGACGGATTTAAACATATTTGCACAGTTTGGAATCTGTGATTATTTATTTTTGTGTATTATACATATATTATTATATTATATTGAAATAACATTGTTGCATTTTTACCTCACACATGGGTTTGACAGATACTGGACATCATAAGCTGGACCCATGTGACCCACTTTTTAGCTTTTTCCTTTCTTCCCATCTCTAACCTCACAATCCCATCAGCCGGTCCACTGCTCAGTCACCTGTGACCAGCCTGGGCATGGCCTTTGACCACCACACATCAGGGACATCAGGCGAGCTGTGATGTCCCTGCAGCTTAAACCCAATGGACCATTCACACCAAATATATCCGGCACCAGGAAATGCTAAGCATTTAGGCATTTTAACAAGGCACCCAAACAATAACCAGCCGGAATGGTAGTTATGGGAATACTTGGAGGCTTTGGTGAGGGTCACCCATCCAGGGGCTTTTCAATCCAAAAATACCAAATAACAGATTCTCATGAGATCACCACTTCTTGTCAAATAGCACATAGCTCCCAGAAATCTCTTGTAGAAATCTGGAAAAAAATATTATTAGCAAGAATTTGGTGGAAAACGCAGGGTGCCAAAGCCATTACAAAACAAAATCCCTAATAAACATTTTCCCACATTGTAATTAATCTGGATATGGCCTAAATCTTAATATCTCACACAAATTCACTGCAACATTTCTGACTTATTGCTCTTATGATCACTGGCTTAATGAACCCTCATTCATGCTTTTCCATTATTCTAGTCATTCATCATATTACCAATCTCTCAGGAATCGCTGTGCTCAAGAATGCAGAGGTTTTGACTTTGCTATAAAAGCTCATTGATGCTCTAGTGTATCCGTTCAATGATTTCTAATACGACATATTTGCACCAAAAGCTCCTTCACGGTTAATTGTTTTTGACATTTTGAGCGATCATAACTTTGTGTCCCTGTAAAATTTACTTCTTTATTTCTCCCGCTGAAAAATGTAGCTTATGCCTTAGTGGCCCTAAAATGCAAACTCAATAATTATGCCTTTCAGTTCGTGTAGGGCTTGAACAGTGAACGCTCTGAGGCCTAAAAAGGTTTGAAATGAAAAACTGTCTGAGCTCGTTTGAAAATTGTGTGAAAGTATGTGTTTGGCTGAGATTGCTTATCCTCATTCTGGCCCGATGCCACTTCTGTTAATGCTTTACCTTAGCGCCCATTAGCACTATTGCCAAGTTATGTCCTGAAGGAGCCCACCCAGACAGACTCTCCAACTGCCACAACACTCAAGTCCCCTCAATTAAAAAAAGGAAAACACGTTTGATTTTCCATTCTTTTTTTAGTTTTGCATTTCAAGCCTGGAGGGGGTGCCATGCCGTGGGCTCACTATCTGTGTGTTGGGGCCACATTCTTGACTTGATTTAGTGGGCATTAAGATCAGGAGGAATGTGTCAAAGCTGGTCAGGGTATTTAGTTTGCTCTGTTGTAAAATGGCCGGGGAGGAGCGGCGAGGTTTTCTGACAGCGCACTCTGAAGAATGACTGACACTTGGTTTAATGTGAAAAGAGATGGAGAGCAGAGGTGGAGTGGTAAAGGCCAAGAACACAAGGACGGAAGAAAGTGTGAGAGAGATTATAGAGAGAAAATTATTAATGCAACTCTCCTAGTTCTATAGGAAAATATGTATAGTCGTTCTTTTAATGGCAGGGCCTAAACCTGGCTTCCTTTCAACAGATAATGTCATTTAAGTTGGATTGGATCAGTATACAATGGATAACAATGTCTAGGAGAGAAATGTAAATATGTTTTATTTTGTTTCTTTGAAAGACAAGTTTTATCAAAATAGCAATATGAAAGATTTTCATCATTAAATGGCCCTAATATCTCAAAAGGCATTCATAAACCATGCTCCTTCCTAATACTTAACTGATTACAGTAGTTCAGCCTAGATATTGGAATTTCAAAGTCGAATTTACAGCACCTAAATCTGGTTATTGTTTTAATTTTGATGTCCCGCCCTCCATCGTTTTTCCAATCAGAAAGTCCTTGATTTGGGTTGCCAGAATTCACCGTGTCAAGCTAATGCCACTGCTAAAGTAATATGTGGCCGAAGTTATCATTCATGACAAAACAAGGAATAAAACGACGATTTGTGTTGGTTATAAATTTGTATTTGACAAAACTCTTGTCTATTCAGCTAAAATGGTCCCAGCTGGATTCATCTGGACACCTGACTCTGGGAGAGTGGGAGAGGTTGCAGTACCACTCTTGGCCAGATTTTTACCTTTAACGTATCAACATGATTTGGATGCAGAGCTGCAAGCCATCTTCAGAACTCTAGAACATTTTAACTCAACATGACAAAATGTATCTTTTTGAATCAATCTTAAATGTATCCGTTGGCAGAAAGACAAGAGGGTGACATCACCACGGTATGGTCATTATCTGTGGAGAGTACATACTTTTGTATAATTGTTTTCGGGTCATTTGGGGCCCTAGCCACAGCTTGGTCTGATTCATAATGTCTCACAAAATATAATTTAATCAAAATAATTGTATCATTCTAACAATCATACAATCACTTTTGTTAGAATTATATTTTGTAAACGTACAACTTACAATTGGCTTCAAAATAAGAAGAAATTAGGATGATACCATAGTGATTAGCAGATAGATCCTTTATATTATATATTTTGAACAAGAAAAAGTCCATTTGTTATTTCATGAGTGATCAATATGGATTCCACAAAAATCCATATTTTCTAAATAATAAATAAGAACAATAACATTCAATTCCATTTCTATCCATTTTAGAAAAGCAGAAGCCTCACATTTTATTGTACAAGCTTATCTTTATTTGCTCAAGATGATTTCATAGTTGAAAGACACACAGACAAGATACAGAAAGATTTTTGCCAGGTCACTTGTGCAGCCTCTGACGATACATAAAGCAACACATACAGTATACAGTACATTTTGTCTGTTTCCACTCAACTTACTTTTAATGTGAAGAATATTCTCAAAAGTCCTAAAAATATTTCATCAAGATGTCGACCCGATGCTACAAAGTGGAGTTTAAAGGTCCATTTAGCCGAAAAAAAAATAAAAAGCCTTTGTGGTTTGGAGTTTGAGTCCTGAGAAATAGGCGTATACAATAAATTAAAATATAAAATTGTACCGTTTTGTGTTAGTATTGTGTGTGCGTGCATTTGGGCTGGTAAAAGTTACTCCTCAGGGCAAACTGAGAGCTCTTCAAAATGCTTTTTTCACAACACTCCAAACATATAGTGTATCTGCCTCTACGCCACTCCAAACTGTAATAAAAGCAGAACAAATAAAGCGCCAAAAAGCCAATAATGAATCTAAACATATATTAGGTAGAAGATTGTGCAGCGACCTACAAATGGCACCACCGCACACAAGTGAAAAAGGCAAAAGCAGCACGTAAACACAACTTACTCACGTCCTGAATGCGTAGACCTTTTTCTCAAAGTGCAATCCCCGTTCCACAGATAGAAGCATGCATCATGTACAGTCAACACGCTGTATGCATGACACATTTACATGACAACCGTGAAATCCGCCCGCCGGACATGAAGCTAACAGACAGCCCAGGTCAAGTCAAAGTGCACACCATCAAAAGAAATAGAAAAGAAGGCAAGGAAATGAGCACTCTTCTTTGTAAACTCGCTCTGGTCAAACTAACGTGATGCTGATGTGTGCGCCCCCTGGTGGTGGAGGAGGAGGAGGAGGAGGAGGTGGTGAAGGGCAGTGGCATCACACGGTCAGGGAGATGAAACTGTTGTATCTCTGGATGTTTCTCTTGAGGATCTCCGAGCAGGGCCCCAGCACGCGCTCGAAACGGGGCCGGTCCAGCTTCACGCACTTGAGCGGGCCGCGGGCGACGACGGTAGCCGCTCTGGGCCGGTTCAGCAGCAGCGCGATCTCACCTGTTAATACATTTATTTATTTATTATATGATTATTGGATAGGGACAGAACAAAGAGCTAATAGACAATTGGTATACCTGGTCCCTAAGACTAAAAAGTATTTAGTATATAGTTTATAGTATCTACATTTTACAATCTTTTGTGGAAAAATGTACTATTATTAGTGTGTATTTCAGTGTTTAATTATTATTTGCAGTAAGTCATGAAGAATAAACCATCCATCCATCCATCCATCTGGTCAGTCAGAGCTGCACCCAGTCACAGAGCGCCAGCCCCTCACTGGTCCTCCTGCAGGTGGTGAGTCCACAGGAGCTGAGATCTTTCAGTGGGGGCTTCAGGCAAAGTAGGGTTAAGTGTCTTGCCCAAGGACACAACGACAGCAGTCATCAGAAATCTCAAATCTGCCATTTATGGGGAAAGTCCTTGAAAAAGTTGTCTACCTACAGCTTCCCACTAAACATCCGACGTCCACTCAACCTCCAGATCACGTCAATATCGCGTCGGTCGGTCGTGACCTTTTATTTACGTCCAAACGACGTCTGTGCAAGGTGCGCATCTGGACGTAAAACAATGACCTCCCATATACGTGGATATGACGTTCAATCCCGACCTCCCTTAGACGTCGAAAACAGGTCATCGGCTGACCGACGCAGTACGTCTTGATCTAGCAATAGAATATATAGGCTGTGAAGCGATCTCAGTGTACCTGACGGTAGTGTAGTGGTTAAGCAAATGTGTGCAGCCTTGGTTACGTGAGTTCGAGCCCACGTGTGTGTATTATTATCTTTACATATTTGTTTTGATTTTTAACGAACAATTTTTTTCTGTTTGGTTAAAGACAATAAACACTCAACATAGGATTACGTAGTGGCTAATAATAAAACTTGTGAATGTATGCATTTGTTGTGCTAACAATCTCAAGTTTGCAAATAAGGGGTGAGCACTTGAGATTGTATGCAAATGCATGGGTTCACAAGTTTTATTATTAGCCACTACATAATCTTATGTTGAGTGTTTATTCGTTTTTTAACCAAACAGAAAAATTGTTCGCTAAAAAGTAAAAAGTCAAAAGTTTTCCGACGGGGATTTGAACCTGCGTCGTTGGGACTGAAGTCTCATTACGCAACCGCTACACCACGGCCAGGCATTTATCCAGACTACTGTGACAAAATAATACATAACACCCTAAACAACCGACGCACACTTATGCGCCGCGCGAGTATAACTTAGGCTTTACAGCCTGACACGTGAGTCGCTCGGTCGAGGACCTGTTTTCCACGTCTAAACGACGTAAGGTGTGAATCTGGACGTAAAGTAATGCCTTCCCAGACGTTGATATGACGTTGAATCTGTACCTCTGTCGCTGCCCTGCTTTATTTAGCTACTTGGAATCACCCTCTCTAGTAAGTACACAGTCTGCACAGTTTTTAGATATAGATGTATCATTTCCACATTGAAAAGAGTTGGAGACAGAAAGTAAGTTGTTTTCTCACGTATACGTGGATTTTGTTAAGTATATTTTGTATATTATCTGTATTTTGAATTGCCAGTGCATGAATCTATTGAGAGTGAGGAGCTGACGTCATAGCACAGAGCCCCTCCCCGTCTCCGCCATGTTGGTAGGATCCCAGCGGCAAACACTTGTTGTTGTTAACTCGGTAGCAAAGGAGGTCGTCGCTATTTCTGTTTTACCATGCCTGGAGCTCATTGCTGTGTGAAAAACTGCTCCAGTACCTCACACAATAAGAAAGGAAAACGTAGGAACAACGGTTTACAATTTTTTAGGCCACCAAAATGGATACAACATCAGGGAGCGCAAGTGTCTGACCTGACGAAGAGACGCCGGATGGCTTGGTTGGCTGCAATAAGAAGAAAGGACCTTACTTTCGATCTCACCCCCAGTCGATGAGAGTGTGTTTCTCTGCATTTTCACTCGGGTACGTCCTAAAATGTCTTTATGTTGTTTTTTTAAAGTTAAGAAGTGTAGGTTACCTAGCTGTTAATGTTGCAAACACTGAAGTGCATCTTAAGTTAGCTGCCTAGCTAACTATCTAACAAACTGTTGCCTCTATGAAAATGCTTAATGGCCAACCATTAATGTTAACTAAGAATATTTAAGTTTCTGCTCATTATCCTACCTTGTTGGTGGAATATGGGCACTCAAAGTGCGTTTGTCTCTGTCTCTTATGTTCTCTAAACCAGTGGTGCCCAAACTTTTTTTTTGTCTTGTGTTTCCACTACCCCCTGAGCCCTTTTATGAAACCATGAATAGCGTTACCTTCTTGTTTAATATTTCTTTAGATTCCAGATTGTTTAATAATCTTATTAATCTGATGTAAGTAAACCATTATATGAGATTGCTAAAAATAGTTGAGATTCTGTTCATGACATTATGCTACCTTGTTGCCAGTTTAAAGCATTGACTACATACATTATTCTGTTCTAGGTAAACTATCATATGAGATGTTGGAGAATCACCCTGACTGGACACCATCCTTGCGGTTAGGCCACAATAATGTTAAAGAAACAGATGGAGCGCGATATCAGCGGCAAGTAAAGCGCAGTACCCAGCATCTGGAGCAGTCATCACTCCCAGCCCAAGCCCAGCAGCCTCCATTGCCAGCCCAAGCCCAGCAGCCTCCATCGCCAGCCCAAGCCCAGCAGCCTCCATCGCCAGCCCAAGCCCAGCAGCCCCCATCGCCGGCCCAGCAGCTCCCTCAAGGAAGGATGAGGAAGCTCTCACCCTTCCAGCTTGTCCTATTGACTGTAATGCGCCTCAGATTAGACCTTCCATCTCAGAATTCACGTTGAGAGGGTGATTGGTGTTGTGCGCAACAAATTCAAATTCTTACACTCAACTGTACCTGTGCATATGCTTCTCAAATGTGAGGGTGAAAACCTAATGCCTTTAGATAAGATTGTCACTGTTTGCTGTGCCTTAACGAACATGTGCAAAAGTGTTGTTTGAGTGCCTTGTTCATAACTTATGAACCAACCAGAACCCCTCATGTCATCTGGATCCGAGTCCAGAGTCAGAACCAGACACGGAGAAGCTGCATTCAGCTTCTATGCTCCACATGTCTGGAACAAACTCCCAGAAAGCCTCAGATCAGCTGAAACACTCAGTTTGTTTACATCCAGGTTAAAGACCCACCTGTTCTCAGCTGCTTTTGAATATTTTTTATTCTAATGTACAAATCTGCACGGCTTCTTTTAATCTGGAATTACTTATCTGTTATCTTTTTCCTATGATTTTTTGTTTTTAAGTTAAAGTTTAAAATATGATATTGTTTTTCATATTTCAAACTATTTTTAACACATTAGAATTCTTAGGTTAGACTGTCCAACAAACTATGTGTTAAAAAAGGTTAAGATTCTTGAGTTTTAAAATAATAATTCAATTCTAAAATGTAAAGTTACTGTATATTTCACAATGGTTTATAAACTGCAAAAAGACAAGTACTTAGTAAACTAAGTTTAAAAACAGGGAGATCAGCTTTAATATTTGGGACACTCCCATCATTTAGACACCTGTGATGTCATCAGTTGGAGTTGAGTTCAGGTGTGGGACCATGTGGGACCATGTGGGACCATAGGAGCACACAGATGTTACCTGCTGCAGAAAGAGAGTTTAATGTTCATGTATTGCTTTGTTTAATAAATGGATTTAATGTCTTCCCAGGTCTTCAATGTCAGAGACTTTCACTTCTTCTCACTGTGGCTGTTCAAATGAGCCACTACAGTCGTTATTTTTGTTATTGTTAGCTGCAAATATTAAATATCCATTAATCTGCTCTATCTTTTTCTCAGATTGTTCAGCAACTCACTCATGATGAGGGAAAAGAGCATATGTGTTGTTATATCACTTTGCCACATTATGTTGAAACTAAACATGTTCCACATTTCCAGGTGCTGTGCTTGGACCTTGTGATGAGAGACTGAAGACCAAGAGAGGACACATGTTGGAACATCAACATTCAATAAATGCATTCTTCTGCCTTTCAGATTGTGTTTTTACATCATCATGGGGAACCTAGAGTGTAGCTTGTGCCTGTTTTAATACTGATCCAAACATAGGCGCTACAATCATGTTTTTTTACTTTGGCATGAACTGTTCAGTACAGTAGTGTTCATAACACTGTGCCCTGTGTGGATTAACTTGTACTTTGATGTAGAGAAACATGATTTTTAATGCAGCTCCATTTGCAATAGTGACTGATATCCTTCTACTACAGTTGTTCTAATGATTTTTGAATGCTGTGGGTATCGTTTATTGCCCAGAGTCAGAACTAAACATGATATAGCTGCATTTCAGATTCACAAGGCTAAAATCTGGAACGGTCTTCCTGGAAATGTGAGACAGGCTTCTTCTTTGACAATGTTAAAATCCAGGTTTAAAACACTTCTGTTTCTGCTTCAACTGAGAGATTTTATTTGTATCTTTTTAATTTACTGTCAATATTTATAATTGTAATGCCTTGTTTGATTGTTTCTATCTTTTGTTCAGTGCTTTGAGTTTCCTTTTGTTTTGACTGTGCTATACAAATAAACTTGCCTTGCCTATTGCAAAAAGTATGTCTCGACTATTAAGTCATTCTACAGAGGTCAATAGGACTGTAAATGGACGTCATATAAACGTCAATATTTTGGTCATATAAGACGTCGAGAGGACGTCGGACCCGACTGGTTCTGTACCACATTACAACCTTGAATGAACGTCCAGATGACGTAGGAATTACGTTGTTTTGACATCTGCTTGCTTAGTGGGAACGACTGAAAACGAACGTCATATAAACGTCAATATTTTGGTCATATAAGACGTCGAGAGGACGTCGGACCCGACCGGTTCTGTACCACATTGCAACCTTGAATGAACGTCCAGATGACGTTGGAATTACGTTGTTTTGACATCTGCTTGCTTAGTGGGAACGACTGAAAACGAACGTCATATAAACGTCAATATTTTGGTCATATGAGACGTTGATAGGACGTCAGACCCGACCGGTTCCGTACCACATTCAAACCTTGAATTGACGTGCCATCAACGTAACATTTGGAGGTTGAGGTGACGTCGGGAAACGACGTCGAGAAAACTTTCATTCTGCACCCACCAGTGACCTATATTCTACGTCGGACAACGACGTTCAAATTACGTTGATTCAACGTCGGCTTGCTTAGTGGGTTACTAGATTTCTTATAATCAACAACTCATTTGATATGTTTCAGTCCGGCTTTAGACCCCACCACAGCACTGAGACTGCTCTCGTCAAGGTTACAAATGATATCCGGCTGAACACTGACGCAGGCAAAGTCTCAATCCTAATCCTGTTAGATCTAAGTGCTGCCTTTGACACTGTCGACCATGAGATCCTCTTACAGAGATTAGAGGACTGGGTTGGCGTCGCTGGCTCCGCCCTAAGTTGGTTTAGGTCTTACCTTGAAGACAGGAAGTACTTTGTGGAGATTGGAAACTGTGTCTCAGATCATATGGCCCTGACCTGTGGAGTCCCACAGGGGTCGATCCTGGGACCTCTTCTGTTCAATCTCTACATGCTGCCGTTAGGTCAGTTAATACGCAGAAACAAAGTTTCCTATCATAACTATGCAGACGACACTCAGATCTATGTCTCACTGACTGCAGGAGAACATGGACCAGTGGACTCACTCCTTCACTGTATCCAACAGATCAGTGAGTGGATGCAAAACAACTTCCTTCAGCTAAACGCAGACAAAACTGAAATGATTGTCTTTGGTCCCCAGAAACAAAGAGAGAGCGTCATCTGTCATCTACAGTCTCTCTCCCTAAAACCTTCAAACAAGGTCAGAAATCTAGGGGTAATACTGGATTCAGACTTAAATTTTAATAGCCACATCAAATCAGTAACATCAGCAGCTTTTTACCATCTAAAAAACATTGCCAGGATCAAAAACATAGTGTCTAAAGCAGACCTGGAGATTCTTATCCATGCATTTGTCTCCAGTAGGTTAGACTACTGCAATGGCCTGCTCACAGGTCTGTCCAAACAGGCTGTAAAACAGCTGCAGTACATTCAAAATGCAGCAGCTCGAGTCCTGACTAGAACCAGGAAGTACGACCACATTAGTCCAGTCCTCAGGTCTCTGCACTGGCTTCCTGTGGCTCAGAGAATAGACTTTAAAACAGCTCTGCTTGTGTACAAGTCTCTCCATGGCCTCGCACCAAAATATATTAGTGACATGTTAGTCCCATATGAACCAGCCCGGACTCTGAGGAGCACAGGGACTGGACTCCTGTTAGTGCCCAGAGTCAGAACTAAACATGGGGAGGCTGCTTTTCAGATTCATGCTGCTAAAATCTGGAACAATCTTCCTGAAGATGTGAGACAGGCCTCCTCTCTGACAATGTTTAAAACCAGGTTAAAGACGGTTCTGTTTAGCTGTGCATACAACTGAGGGATTTTATATTTTTATCTTTCGTTTTAATGTTCTGTAATTATTTATGATTTTAATGCATCTTGTTCAGCACTTTGAGTTGCCTTGTGTATGAATTGTGCTATACAAATAAACTTGCCTTGCCTTGCCTTGCCTTGCCTTGCCTTGCCTTGCCTTGCCTTGCCTTGCCTTGCCTTGCCTTGCCTTGCCTTGCCATCAGTGGGAGTCGTGAAGTAGGTCTTGTGGTGGGCTCGAACCCACGACCTTCAGGCCCAAAGGCCAATGCTCTACCAACTGAGCTACTGTCGCATGAAGAATAAACCATTAGGGCCAAAATTCAAAACAGGAAAAAACAGGGTCTGGCATCTCATATGTTTTGTAATAAGATTTGGTGGATTCTGATTGGATTTGGGGTTCTACTTGAATTTGAGAATAGACTTGTTGATTTTGGATTTGAGTTTCAATCCACAAGAATCCAATCAGAATCTGTCCCAACTGAATAATTAGTCATAAACGTAATATAAAAAAAACTAAATTTGTTGGGATAGAAATGTAATATTATGCATGTATAGTATGTGTTATTGCTATGTTTGTAAATCACGTGTTGGACATTGAACTAGCCCCAACGACACAGTTTTAGGAGGTCATTCCAAGACGGGACACGCACCAAAATAGTCGGATGGCCCCAGGCGTCCGACTTCCACATACTCCTCGTTGTCCGAGCGGCGCTGCAGAACTGAGGCAATCCCCTGAAACAAACGAGAGACAGAGACCCAGAGTTAACGAGGAGATGAGCGTGGGGTGGGACGGGTCACAGAGGGCTATTCCAAAAGGCTCTGAAAATCATCAGGGGGATTAGGGCAGAGGCAGAATTCCTCTGCTTCATAAGGGCACAGGTGCACAGGATTTAGCTTTCCATCCAACAAACACCTGTTTTGTTACATCAGGAAAACAACGCAGTCAAATGTTCCAGAGTTCTGTGGGAACAAAAACTCAATCGGAAATACAAAATCTCTGTGTGTAACTTGGCCAAAGAAATGACCCAGATTATCCCTTTAACACAAATGGAATAAGTACTGATGAAGTCAAAATGATGAAGTGTGGGTGGTGGAGTGGATTATTACTGTACACTGTACAAAGAAACTCAAAATGTCCCCAAATATACTGTAAAGGGTGCTTTAGTAGTATCAGGGTGAAACTTGAAAAGAGTATTGTTCAAAAGTCCATTCACTCGTATATGACAACATGTAAAAAAGTTCATTTTGTCGTCTTATGTTTAAGGCTTGGAAGGTTCTTTTAATAAGACAAAAACATGTAAAGAAAGCACGTACTGCTTAATTACCTGACATATACATATATATACCTCTGAAACATTAGCTTCTTTATATTTTTTATCTTAAAAGAACGCTCTAAGTCGTACACGACAAATCTATTACAAAGTAAGCCTTTAAGTGTTAGAACGTTTATAATTGTCTCACAAATCCAAATAAAACATCCCAGAATATTCTAATAGTTTGACTGTAACCCATAATCATCAGTATAATAATCATCAATATATTAATATAATAATAATAACAAAAGGCTTGACATATGTCACTTTGTGTGTAATGTGTCAATATCATGTATTAGTTTGACATTTCAAGTTTAATTACAGAAATAAGGGAACTCTAATGTTGCACCTATGTAAAAGTGTGCATGAGAACATCCTTGTGGTATTTATATTATACTCAGTATGTATTATTAAATTATTATATATATATATATATATATATATAAGTATGAAAGAGAATGCCTAATGTAATTAGTACATACAACTTCACTGCAACATTTTAAATTGACAATAGATATAAATAATGTGAATAATGAATGTCCCTGTTGTTGACCAGGAGTGGTTGAAACAGTAGAAATAGGCTGTGTGTACTGGAGCTTGACTCAAATGTCACAAAACATACTTGACTTCTTGCCTGCCCTCCTTCTCACTGTCGCTAATCCTTCTTTGGCTCCTTCCTCGTGCTGACCAAACCAATAATACAATGTGGCTGTGATCACTGTTAATGAGCACCCGGCGCGGCCCCGTACAGTGACTTCACTTTGATGTCGGCAAACATGGACTCAGGTAAAAAGCACGGGGTCTTTTTAGGTGAAATTAATAATTGAAAATAAACTGTCACTGTGTGAACTGAATGGAACATAATCAACTAGAACTTTGTAAACTTGTTTACAAAGTTTGTAAACTCAGCATGCTACACCCTGTATTACAGCAAATGTCAGCTACTTCATTCAAATCTTTGGTTTAACTATTCTCCTCCAGCAAATCTTACTGGTCGTAGTTACGTAAGAGGAGGGACTATTTTAAGGAAGTAAGTAAGTACATCATCTTTATCTATATAGCGCCTTTCACAGACTATGGCATTTGTCTCCCTCTCCACACTGAGCAGGGGTCGCCAGTAAATGAGGCGCATGCCAGACCTATTGTACAGGTTTTTAGTGGTAGGGGAAACCGGAGCACCAGGAGAAACCCTACGCAGATACAGGGTTAGAACATGCAAATTGCACACAGAAAGGCCAGTAGGTAGAATCCAACCCAGGACCTTCTTGCTGAAAGATACAGTGGGGCAAAAAAGTATTTTTTGATGAAAATTACAGATCTCTGTCATTATTTTAAGTGGGAGAACTTGCACAATTGGTGGCTGACTAAATACTTTTTTGCCCCACTGTACTTACTGTATGTAATAGCACAACAGGGTCCCATAGTCAGAAATGTACGTTCTTTTAAAAATGAGACACAATTTAAGTTGCCAACATCCCCTTTAATGCAATGTTTAGCAGTGAGTTTGTGACCTTATAACTGAAAAGTGATTGGGGGAGACAGGAACGGGCCATACTGTGCGTCTCTGGGGGTAACAACGTTCCATTCAAGTGCAAACAAAGAGAGTGAGACAGTGCAGCCCTGTCAGGTACAGTAGAGGCTTGATCCGGTGTGGTCCAGATAATCATCAGACTGTGCCATCCCACGGGCATCTCCTACATAAACACTGGAAATCCTCTTTACAGAGCAATCTCGACGAGGAGTTTCCCTGCACTTGAAGAATAGGAGATGCATGGATCAAAGGGACGAGAGGTGACTAGAGATTGGCCCATGACCAACACTGCACATTTACTACTGTCTGTACGCTTTTCATGTTAAAGAGGACGCACTCGGAATGGAATTACATATGTCAATGATTGAAGACAGCCAGTGTTTTTTATTTGTTTGAAAATTGTGCCACACTTTCTATACCACTGCTAAATACTGTCCTGTAACTTTGTATTGCATCATATGTGTACCAGTAATTTGCACATTTTCCATTTGCTGCTAAATGTTTATTATATGTTATCCTGCACATTGTGACTTGGGATTGTTACTAAGTTGGTAACTTTTTATTGAACTGTATTTTAATATGTAAGTTATATGATTGTATTGTCAAGAACTACAGATGGTGCTGAATCTTTTTTAATGTAACTGCACATTGTCCTTAATATATGAAACTTAAAATTAACTTAAAACTTAAAGATTACATTATGATATTGATATTTATATATAGATTATATAAGATAAACTTTATTGTTACTGTTGGCATCAATCACTCAGGGTGAGCAAAAGACAGAAAATGTGCGACAACATGTTAAAAAGTGAAACAACGGTGTAGGGTATCTTATGTGCAGTGAAGGTAATGTACAACATTATTAGATCCTTTACTCGTCCCACAGTGGGGGAATTTCAGTGTTGCATTACAAGTCACAGACAGTATGAATCAAATATAAAATAAAATAAAAATCTCTCACTTTAGCATAAAAAAGCAGTTTAAAATCTCTATGTTTAGCATTATAAATAAAAGAAGTCTAAAATCTCCAACTTTAACACAATGAAGGAGCCAGACTTAAGAACAAAAACCCCTGAGTTTAGCGTAAGTGACTATAGCACGGCAAAGTCACATTTTGTTTGTCCCCACAGAAAGAGTCTTGTAAAAGTAACACACATGCTGACCACATGCTGTCTCGAGCTTAGTAGAGAACAGGATTTCTCTCTTGCGTACTTGCAGGAGAGAGTCTCAGTATGACTATTTGGGATGAGAGCTGATTGGCTGAGTGAAAGTGATCTCGTCTTTTGCACTTTTCTGTCTGACTAATACGTGCACTGAACTAAGGATTTTAGCTGGATTTAAAAAGTTGGTGCTTTAATCAACAGGTTTACAGAAAGCCCTGTGGTCCAAAAATGTCTATAAATAATGATCCATATTCGGGGAAAGCAAGGATTTGTTTACAAGCCTCAAAGGTATATAGGAGGATTTCCCCGAGGGGTTTTATATTTTTATCTTTCTTTTTAATGTACTGTGATTATTGATAATGTTAATGCTATCTTGGTCTGTTCAGCACTTTGAGTTCCCTTCAGTATGAATTGTGCTATACAAATAAACTTGCCTTGCCTTGCCTTAAGCATGCTTATTCTCTGCCCACTCTTGACCGACAGCTCGCATCTGAAGATTGGTGTCTGGGCACTAAATTGTTAGGAGACATTTTTGAAAGATGGGTCAAATGCACATTCTAACTAATGTGCCACAACTTCCGCGGTCTATGGGCAGTTTCAAAATGGCCGCCGAGGCTGGAAAATGTGAAAAAACGCATCTGCGCTTTCGTCAGCCGGCACGAGGCCCATTCATTTAAACGAGTGACTAAACTAGACTGGTCCAAAAAAATTCACTCCCCTCAGCATTGACACACATGTGGAACGCAGCTTTGGGCCAAGAGCAAACTTTTGGACCTGTAAGATGTTTTCGAGAGATGCTATATGTTAGCATTGGCTAATTCTTATTCCGGGTCCACCCCCATCGGCCCGGGGTGGTATTGCAAGCATGTCAGCGCACATCAAATGCAGGGGAAAAATCTTTTGATGTTTGAGCCCAATGCAGTCTAAAATAATAATAATAATCATTAGCAGCAGCAGTAGTTTGGGTTTAAAGCCTCTTGCATAGAGCTTCAAAAACTCTCTTTCCAAAAACAAAGTGTACTGAAGAGACAGTTGTGGGAGTATTATGGTACAAGCTGTGAATTGTAGAGGAACAAACACAAAATCCACAACAGACAAATGAAAGCGGGAGACAGAAAGGCAGAGAAAGGTGATATCTGTGCCCACGGCCACCCAGCACCGCCTGTGTCTGCACCTTGTCACTCACACACACAAAGACTCTGCTTATAGAAAACACTAAAGACAACAGCCACTTTCTCATCTCTCACTACACGGGGCGAATTTGGGGATTCTCCGGAGACAGCAGAGTGTTAATCCATTCTAAAGTTTATGACCGGGCTCCGTGTGAGTGGTTGTAACATTATGGAAGATAAATTTGTGTAAAATTTGAATACTCCATTAGCTAAATGACGGATACTCGGACAGATATGAAGGAAGCTTATAAAAGACTATAAAGCTTGCCCCCAGTGGCTCTTCAGTTTAGTGGCCTCGGGGTACAAAGGTCAGAAGGGGAAAAAGATATATTGATGTTTTAATTATCTGCTTCCTGTTTCTTTTGGGCACTTTCCTTCAGAGATACCCACAACAAACGCTCTGGTGTAGGACGTCAATGATTATTCTAACAACAACAAAAAAGTGGGGAGGGAGGGGTCGGTAGTGAATCTCTCGATATGTGACCATCAGTGTTGGGCACGTTACTTTGAAAAAGTAATTAGTTATAGTTACTAGTTACTTCTCCCAAAAAGTAACTGAGTTACTAACGGAGTTACTCCACTATAAAAGTAACTAGTTACCAGTAAAAGTAACTATTGCGTTACTTTTTCGTTTTGTTCTGGAACATAATGTGCACCCGACGTGCGCATTTTTACCTTTAACCTCAGTGAGTCTGAAATATTGCCAATATTTCCATCTAGAAAAGGCTGTTTTGCCGCTGAAGTCCTGTTCACTCTTCATCTCTCTCTGTGCTGTAAGCACTAAACACCAACACCAACACTGTGAATGTGGAAACACCGGTGAAGCACTGACTTCAGCCCAATCAGATGAACATATATATCATAGAAATCAACTGGACCTAGAGAGCGGCTTATTTGTTTGGCTACAGCAGAATACGTTTCATGCCCGCATTGTTTGTTCATACAAAACGCAAAACTAAGAGTTATGGGTCTTACCTTATAAATGACCTGCACAGACCACTTCGCTTCAGACCAGTTCCATGTTTAAGTCCAGATAATAGTTTGAGCGTAGATATGTAATCCTCCATTTGGAAATGAGTCCAATGAGTTTTAAAAAGCAAAACAAAACGCGTGTGTCCTCCATAAACTACTCTGTTTTGCTAGCTGCAGCTGTGTGCATCCGATTTCTAAAAGCAACCGTCTTACACTTCACCTCTCTTTCTTATCATTCCTATAGTCATTGAAAAATTACCCTAAGTGCATTTTAAATGATCTTAAATATGTCATATGTATGTTAGCCAAACCTGTTGCTGTCCTTAGCAGATAAACCAGGAGGAGAAAGGAGCTTATCGATGGAATTGTATGCAGCCAACTTCTGCGCTCACATGCGCTCCTCTGAGCCCTCACGGTGATACAAGCCGTGGTAGAGTGTGATTAAGACCCATTTGTTTCAAAAACACAATTTATGACCATCCTCTCAACTGTAGACATGTAGATTGTAGAGGAAATATGTTTTACATCAGCCAATAATTGCTGAGAGGTTTTCTCATCCTCCCTTCTCTCATGACAACACGCGCACGAGTCCTATCACGAAGTAAAAAGAGAAGTTCACTGTGCGTCTTGAGTAACGCGCAGTAACGGGATGTCGGAAATGCTAACGGCGTTATAGTTACAGTCAAAGTAATTAGTTAGATTACTCGTTACTGAAAAAAGTAACGGCGTTAGTAACGCCGTTACTAGTAACGCCGTTATTCCCATCACTGGTGACCATACATTATAAAGGGAGAGTTTATTTAATACATCAATAAAATATATATATTATTATATTATTATATATATATTGTCATTATCAATAGGTGTGTCACGGTCAGTGAGGTCTTATTATTACACTTTAAGAACAGTCTTCCTGAGAATGCGGGACAGGCGTCTACTCTGGCAAGTCTAGGTTAAAAACTGTTTTTTTAAGCTGCATAGAACTTTTTAGTCCACTCTGGCTACAGTATTTATAATTTTAAATCCCAAGTGTGATGTCATGTTTTTAGTTTTATTGTGTATTTTGAATGCACTTTGGGATTTTAATTGTATTTTTGATTTATGCTTGATGTGATATGGGTTGTAAGGTGCTTTGTGCTGCATTGTGTAGGAAAGGCGCTCCACAAATTAAAGTTGATGGAAGTTGATTGATAGTGTATTTGTTGATGTATGTACATACTCGTACAGTCAAAATATGTTGTGTATTCATGTGTATTTGTAATATGTTGTTTATACTTCTATTTCAGAACTTGCGGATTAGCTTCTTCCTGCATGATGTTTGGAATAGGCGACCCGAAATGAATGAATGGTATACTTAAGTTCAGCCTAAACCCTTTCGGTCTTGAAATTGTCACTTTATAAAATACCAATGAGAAATTTGTTTGCATTTTTTGATGTTGTTGAAAACTAAGAAATAAATAAAGAAAACCATTTGAACTAAAACAAATGATCCAGAAGATCTAGTTATTTTACCACCACAGAAACAGCTCCATCTATGTTGACTCATCTTTTTGCATACATCTTAATTGCAGTTTTTGACATGGAGAAGATTAAGAGGCTCGGATGTGGCAGAAAAAGTCCCCCAAATCTCCTTTCTCCCATCATTCTCTGCTGCTGGCCTGTGTGACTCATGGCTGCTCCGCCTCAGCCTCCCGGGAGGCTGGCTCTTCGACCCCATGTGAAAGTGGCCGATGCACATTCCGCGCTCTGGGAAAGTCGGGCCCTGCTGCCGCTCTGACACCGAAACTGACTCAGGCGCAAAAAGGGGAAACGCCAAGATTGAACAGAAGCAGCGTGGATCTGCTGAAGTTGTATGAGATTGCATCATGAAAAATGTATGGGGGAAAATAGCACTTTGATGCATCTTCTGCCTGTGCATGTCATTTGCATTCAGTTCAACCATATTTCTTATTTATTTATAATTTAATTTGTACATGTTTTAAGAAAGGGGTAGGCAACATAAGATTTATTTTCTTCTTTCTGCTCCTTTTCATTTGTGTGACAAGACTGCAATTATTTGAAATGTAGTTGTATTATGTGATGTCATGTCCACAATTTAAATAAATACATAAATAAACAGTGCTAATGTTATAACTCCATAATAATGCATAGATTTTATCAACCGCTTTTAGTTTGATTCATTAACTCCATACACAGTGATGATGAACTACTGCTGTAGCCGTAGCTGCCCTGGGATAGACCAACTATTGGGAGGCTGCCAATCTCAACACAGTATCGGGTCAAGATGAGGCCTAAGTTTAAAGCTGTAAGGCCTAAGTTTAAAGCTGTAAAGCTCTGTAAAATGCGCTATATAAATAAAGATCACTTAATTACTACTAACAATGACTCAGGATAAATCCTGTGGGGCTGGTGCTCTGTGTACTGGGTGCAGCTCTGACTGCCACCCCCCTGACCCAGAAATGGATTAAGGGGAAGAAAATGGATGGATGGATGGAAATCCTGTGGGTATCATTCCGTGCTCTGACAAACTGGTTTTCACGGGATTTCTTCCGCCACCAGGGAGGTTCACTGCTGCTTCAAATTTAGACTCTGCTGGTCAAGGAGAGATATTTACAGAGAGATATTTGCAGTCTATAAATATTTTAGGAATGTTTAAGTATTACAGCACACTCAGTTGAGATGTTCTATGGGAAATCCTTAGCTGTTGTAATAACCCTTGATAGTATTAGATTCTCCATAGAAACAGACAATGGGAAAACCAAAAAGTGACCACAAAGTCTGGGAAAAAAGATAAAACAAAAGTCAGCTTGACCTACATCGTATCTTGACATTGAAAGATGAGTTAGTGTGGGATTAATCAACATTGTAAGTGAAGGCAGGGGGCCTTTATGAAGCTGAGCTGACCCACAGTGATGGGGCAATTAGAGTGGTCTCAGCCCGAGACGCTGGCGGGACGAGACAGAAGCAGCTCTGACAATCTAAACATGGAAATAATATTATATACTATATGGTAGATGCACTGTTTTTGTTGTTTCCTGTTAAAACGTTTTGGTCGATCGCTAGCTTTTCTTAGGGTGGGACTAAAAAGAAATGTGTTAGCTCTTTGCTGTTCAGAATAACTGTCATAAAGGAGCACGGAAGTATTATTACGCTGCATGTCTTGATGTTTATTCCTCAAACTGACTTTCTCCATTGTGAGATCCATAAAGTCTATCTTATCTGATCTGATCTTAGAGAGTATAAGCTTTAGTATCTATTTAAATCTTCCAATCAGTGATACTTTTATTCAGTATCAAGGCTTGAAGTAGACATTCAACTAAAATACTATAGCTTACTACCGCCATGTTTGGAATCAACGAATAATGAATTAGATGTTATATAAATGCCACGCTTACCATCACATATTCACAAAAACAGTAGATTACCTCTGTGATAATAAAGAAGTCATCTCCAGGATCTCCTTGCACCACTATCTTCTCTCCGTCCTCAAACTGCACTGGCTCCAAAGCATCGGCCACAGTCAAGCGCTCCCATTTATCCAGCGACTCTGCACAAGAAAAACACAAACACTTTTAAACATATTCATTTCCTGTGGCTTTGTGTGAACCATTAGAACAGAGCGTGTGCATATGATCGGATGTGGTGTGTGAAACATGGCAAACTGCTGCTGAACTTTAGTCTGATCCAGTCCTTCAACAGTGACTGCGGCAAACAGACAACAGCCCTTCATCACCAGGAGATGGACCCACAAAACTAAGCTCTATTTTGGGAAGTCCATCCACAGCCGAGTCTGTCTTTTTGTGAAACCTCAAACCAACGAGCCCATTGTGAATGGCTGTAAAACATTTTAGACCTTGATTTTGCCACATTACAATAAAAAGGCTTTAAATGGTTCTGTTACTTTGACGTTATTGTGTTCCAAAAAATCCATTCAAAGTAATCAACTGACACCATTGATTTTGTTGGTATAAAGCAGGAGAGAAACAATGATGTCCTTTTAGAGTGTAAAATAATACACATTCATATGTAAAATCCTAATTGTTAATATTTTCTCTGAGTGGGTATGTGACTATAAGAAGGGATTTCTAATGGAATCTCTCTTCGACAAGCAATCTCTTGATGCATATTTTAGCTGGGCTTGTGGAGACAGCTGTCTTTCCAGCCGGCCGACCACATGTACAGTGACGTGGTTCAAGTCCCAGATATTTCTAGAAGCTGTTGGTATTCGTGCTGAGACCAAAAACACAGACAGCCACACATCTTCACTGTGCATAAAGCTCCAACCCGCAGAAACATTTAAGGACCATCTGAACTATATGTTATTTATAGTGAAAAGATAGCCACACACAAGTCTTCATAAGCTTCCTGTCTCCTCGCCCCGGCTCAGCTTTGTCTAGTCCACGATTCAATGTTTTGATTTGGTTAAGACGCAAGACTCTCACAAATCTCTCGGTGTCGTCGTGTTGTCTCCGGAAGTGCTTAGTAACCGATCTTAGAGTGTGTTTTATGTGTTTTAGGATTAAATAAGGTGAAGCGTGGTAGTGCTGAGGTGTCCAGTGTCCCCTTCTTTGGGGCCGGAGTGTCTGCTAACCCCCCCATCCCCAGATGGATGTCCTCTGTCTGGCTGAAGGCTGGCTCCCATTGAGGTGATCCTGAACGGAGAGCCAGGTAACACGAGCTGCGCAAATGGGCTGAGTGTCCGCTTTCCCGACTTTAGCTACAACAAGGAGTTTACTACAAAATATTCAGTGTGCATACATTGATTCAGGTTTGCAGATTAAAGTATGAGATATAAATTTGTATTATATGTATTTATAAACCAAATAATCTTAATATCTATAGGCGTGAGCAATATATTGGAAAATGTATCAGAAAAGTATTATCTAACTATTGAGTTATTTGTTTATTGTCCAAACCATAGTAGTCGATTACCCTTTCAAAAAAAAATGCAGGTTCAATCTTTCAATTAAGTGCACTTTTGTAGTTTGGTATTTAATGCAGAAGATATCTGAAAAATATTTTAGATCCAATGTATTCCCACATCACTGTCAATTGATGTCAAAATATCAATCCCAAGCCCTGGTGATCCAAGATGGCGTCCATATTCAAATGAATGGCTTGTGCTCAGTAGCGCATGGGACAGCCATGGGGACCGGAAGATTAGCAGATTTTGCTCATATTTGGGCATTGTCTGGTCCTCCCGGTTCTGCGCAGTGGACGAGATTCCATGATGCTTTGCGCCAAATACGCGTGTGTGGCTCTCATGCACATGCACAGAGGGGCTCGGCCACGCTTTGACCAATCGGAGCTGCTGATCAGAGCGGAGCTAGAGCGGGAAGAAAACAAGCAGAGTTTGTTGCTCTAAAGAAAACCAAAGGACTTAACAGGAAAAAAATATTCAGCGACACTAAAATACCCACAAAATCCGACCTTTATAAAAGCTGTAGGTTCTGAGGTTGAGCTGTTTTAGTTTACGTTGAGTTCTACGGGACATTTTTCTAGGTAGCCCACGTGAATTTATTTTACAGTACTGTGGGCACCCCCTGTGCCCATTGGTGGGACAATTATAAGCTAGTAACACCCTTTACAGATATTATATTAGATCCATGATAAATCCCATTAAGTAGACATTCAAACCAGTTTGTGCCAACTTGTGAGCCCACCACCACATATGAAAGCATATATTCTGTCAGGGTAAACTTCATCAAAGACAAAATTATAGATTTTCTATGAAATTGTGACAGTCTTTGAAATTAAATTAAAGCATTTTAAAGCATCACTTAATTGTTATTGACAATAAAGTGAGTCTATTCATTGGTATTCGAAATCCAGTTTAACATTTCAGCATTGTGACCCAGCATGTCTCTTTCACCGTTTCAACTCTCTCAACTCTCGACCCTTGTTGTTTTGCCCTCCTTGACCGCACCAACTTCAAGGGCTCGTACCCTATTTTACGGTTATCTCCAAAATCAAAGACAAACAAAATGCAACACCCCGCCCCGAACCTTCTTCCCCTGAGAATGAAGGCAAGTGACAGAAAGAAAAATGAGTCGGAGCGCTGCTAGGGAGTATTCATACAGGCCTCGACAAGGTTTTGAGAAAGAGTGAAGGAGAATGAAAAGAGACCAGCTAAGACCTCAATTGAGTGTATGTGTTTACTCAGCCAGCTAATAACTCTGTACAGGGGGCACGGCCTGATTCTATACACCACACACAAACCATCAAGTGGAAGAGGCGGGATGTCAGCTCTAATTGCAGCTGGTTTGGAACTTTCATTCACCAGCGCTAACAAAGTGAGTGCCCTGTATAGCTTTGCCATTATCCAAATTCCAGGGACAGGGAAGATTAACTTAGCCCTCTTATGTTCCTGTTGTAATGACAGTGCAAAGTGTGACCTGTTGGGTATGAAATGTTTTCCACCAGATTAGAACTGGACCAGACCGCTGATCTGGTCAAACAACGTGCGCCCCTGTTTATGTGGGCTAATCTACAGTATATGCAGAGATTTGTCTTCGCTCTGAACTCCTCGACCCGCCACCGAGCGCACACGTGCCAGGCCGCTCATGCTACGGCTAATTTGTGGGAAAAAATATATATATTACGAGTTGATGTACCCAAGATGGAGACTTTGCTGAGGAACTCTTCGTACATCTTTCTCTTCCGGAGCGTGCTTCCCTGAAAGACACAAAACAATACGTGTTAGAGCAAGACAAAAAGGACTGCGTTGGTGTGTACAAAAAACATTTGTAGATTATTGTGTGCATAGGTAAAAGCTAATTCAATGTATTCAGACTATCTTTGCCCCAAGAATCTGAGGTAGTGGCTTGGTGTCAGTCTGAACAGGTTCATTGCGTCCTTGGGTAAGAGACTTCCATGTAGCCCATGAGAGAATGTTCTCAATATAGTGAAGAAAGAAAATTATTAGTAAATAGAAATGTTTAAATGTCTACAGTCTGTAAAAGTACATATAATTATACAGTTGTTCTTGAAAATTTACATACTCAGATTCAGAAGATTATGAATGATTATACAAGTTTCTTTACACTCTTTACTGGCTGTTTGAAGTAATTTATTTAAAAACAACCATGTTTTCTATTTTCAAGTTTTAAGATCTTTCTGGGGAAATCTGAAACGCCCAGGAATTTACAAGTAATGACTTTTTGCCAAGAAGAGCAGCAACCTCATCCACAACTGTCCAACTATAGATGTTAAAGGGGAAATACAGACTAATGAGAACTGTGGGATGGGAACTTCTAATTAGAGTTTGGGTGTTTCTGTTGTCATTATAATTTCAATGTATTTGACAATAAATGTCGTTGGGGGCGACAGTGGCTCAGTTGGCAGAGCATTGGCCTTCGGGCCTGACGGTCATGGGATTGATCCCCCCACGAGACCTACTCTCACTGATGTCTGTACTGTCATTGTGTCCCTGGGCAAGACACTTAATCCCTCTTTGCCTGAAGCCCTCACTGAAAGACTATGGCCGCTAAGAGCAGAGAAGAGCAGCCATCCTCCTGTGGACCCACCACCTACAGTAGGATCAGTGAGGGGCTGGTGCTGTGAATTGGGTGCAGCTCTGACTGCCACCCCCTGACCCAGGAATGAATTAAAGGGATGAAAATGGATGGATGGAATAAATTGTGTCACTCAACATAATCTTAAAAATATGGGCAAAAACATTAACATATTTGCCTGGGTGAGTAAACACCCAAGTGTAACTCATCTATATTTGGATCAGAGAAAATGCAGTATGAAACGGCATTTTATGTCATCATTTGCTGCCTGGGGGCACAATTATCACATTCATATAAAACCCTTCACATAAAAGATGTAACATAATTTGTAACCGTGGGTGCCATGTAATTACTGAAGTTCAAGGGGTCATCGCTGAATGAGAGAAAGCCGTGTGTAATTGTGCAGGAGATGTGAGTGCGTGTGGCCTGTCCCACCCAGCAGGCGGGACTTTCCCTCTGCTCCTCTGTCAGGACCATCAGGTGCTTCATGACAAGCCTAAACCCCCAGGACCCCTTCTGCAATACTATTCTTTTTCAGCTGCACTTTTACAGCGGCGACATAAAAAGACAACGCAGAGAACAGACAGAGAGCCAGAGTGCAGTGTTGCATATGGAAATGATATATCGAGGCTTGGGGTGTCTTAAGTGCCTGCTGCTGCTGCTGCTGTCTCTAATTTCATACAATTTCACATTTTGTCTTAAAACAGTAGAAAAAGTTCCCAAGTGAGCCAATGTCAATCTTGGAATCGTAAACAACTTGATTAAAGGAATTCTAGAGCGCATTGCCTCCCTCCTGGGTAAAAGCCTCTCAGTCTATACAGTCAAGTGTGGAGTCTGTTTTGAATTCTTCCACTTAAGAATCGCTGCTGTTTCTGCAGAAACAAATGCTAATACCCATTAAGACTACACATACAAACTCCCACATGTATGTTCAACTACTGTACAAGCGCACTTTCCCATTCACCTCCCCATAGGGCTCCTTAGATAGGCTCTCTGGGCTTATGGGCTTACTGCATTACATTACACACAAGATTTATGCTGCCGGATTAGAAGAGTATGTGACTGACACAGCAGAATGAGTGTTTGCAAAAATTCAGAAATCTCCTGTGATTTTTGTCCAACACGTTCTTTGCATCTGTCTTTTGTTAGTCGACATTGGAGGGCTTGCTTTTTTCTATGTCTGTACCTCCCCTACTCCTGTCCTCCCGTGGTTAAGGATGAACTAGCCTCTTTGTCTGCTTCTTGTCTTTGAGGTAGAAGCATCAAAGCAGCTTGAGGTGTGGAACGAAGCCAGGCTAAACCAACCACATCTCACGCCCCATCTACATCACCTTCATCTCGGGCCAACGCCACATACGCACACCTCCAACATCTAAAACCCGCCGCATTTTGGCTATCGTTTAGTCTCTTCTTCCTTCATCGCGGCTTGAGTTTGTCGAATGTGGTCTGTCACCTTGTTAATAGCTTAGCCGTGTGCTGAGATATCAACATGACATAACAATGCAAGTATTGTACCAGTGATGGATGCACACATTGCACAGAAATGATCCCAAAGTGGGTTTTTGGAAGCAAATAAAGGGGATGTACGTCATCTTATCTTTCTATTGTTGATTGTCGGAAAGCAGCCATTGTGTGTTTTGTTTGTTAATAAGAACACCATACAATGAAGATGAGAGGATTTGGTTTGTGATGGACCTCCCTGAAGATGATGGCATAATGACCTCAAAAATAGACACAATGCTAGTTTCTGAATGAATGAATTCACTATTATTCCTAAATATAACATATTCAGTTACTTCTGGCAATTTTATCACACAGAAGAAGTCATATGTAAACTGACCTACCTAACCTAGGGCTGACCTCTGCATGTAAAGGAGGATGAAAAGGTTTGGTTTGCGCTATTTATATGATGTTTGTTATAATGTACTTTTTCATACAGTACATTAGAAAGCATATTTATATAAATTAATGCTTTATTTTCTATAGGGTCAATAAAGGTATACTGTATATATACTTTAATGTCTGTTAGGAAAATTAGTCTTCTGCATTTGACCTATCCTGCAGGGCCACGAGGGCCTCTGTCAGGAGCAGTGGTCGCCTGGGCCCATCTCCAAATGTTAATGCTTGGCTTGGTCAGGACGACCTGAGCTGGAGGATTCTACCTAATATAGATGATCTTAAGGGTAGGGGAAACGAGAGCACCCAAAGGAAACCTACACGGGGAGAACATGAAAACTCGACTTTGAAAGGTCCTATTCTGACCAGGATTCAAACTTAGGACCTTCTTCTTAAGAAGTGAGAGTGCTAACCACTCAGCTACCGTGGAGACTGAGGGCTTATCTCTTGACATATATAATTTGGAACCTAGCCGAATGAAGCTTGTTTCCAATGTTAAAGGGAAACAAAATTAATAAAAGGGTCAAATAAGTCAATAACTTTATGCCTGTATGTTCTGTTTTTGATGCACTTTTGAAAGCACAATGCAGAGCTAATGATAATTCTCCAATTACACAGATGCAGGATGACAGACAGACGGTCACCCTATCCGGGCTTGGGACCAGCTCAATGACTAAATGAACAAATGCTCGGAGGACTCAGCCCGCCCCGTCTTCCCTTGTCCTCAGCCGCGGAAGACTGAGCCTCTGTGCATAATTGGAGCGGGGAAAGACACATACACTTAGACACACAGACGGCTCGTTATGTTGGCCGGCGCTGCTGCCAGAATACCACACATTATAAATACAGCTTTACAAATCATTGACAGCAATAATTAAATACAGCTTCACATAATTGAATTCCACTTCACCCTGTCTCCCTGCCTGCCTCTGCTGCTGCTGCTGCTGATTCTGAAAACAGCATGTGAGCTAAAAGACATTGCTTTATAAAGAGGATTGAAGTATGCGCTCTCACAGTGACACAAGCTGAGAGAAGCAGTGCCAACTTCAACACTTGACATAGGGCAGAACTGTTCACTGGTAAGTAACCACATGCATGAGGCAGATTAACGTAAACGTATATTATATATGGCATAAGCCGCAAAGAGCATTAGAGGAAGTATTTTGTTAGCGATGGAGACCTCCAAAGAGTCACGCAGCCAGTAATAAGTTATTCCTCCAGCGCCCAAAATGTGTGTTGTGAAAAAGGATGACAGCCAGGGCAGAGGACCTTGTGTTTCCAGTTTAAACATTTAGACATTCCACAAAGATAAGCTCCAGCAGCAAGTGTGAGGGCAGATATTTAAGGCTGACCCCAGGTCAACCAACTCCCTGTATGCAGAATTATACTGGGAGTAAGCACTCAGGAGGCTTCTGTACTATTAAGCATTTAAAGAGTGCTAAGAGGTAGAGTGGGAGAATATATTGAAGCCAAGTAAGTGATAAGAATGAAGTAGAGCACTAAAGAATATTTTTATTATGCTTACTAGTAATATTTTTAACAATGAGATGGCAGGAGGTAGAGCATTGCGTAAAGTTATGGAATCCTGAGATAATTTATACAGAAAATTCAAATAAATGAAGGTGGAAGATTGGAAGATAAATTAGTATTATTGTTTTGATGAATGCAGAGTGCAAAAGAAATGATAACAAAAGAAACATGCAGATAAAGCTGTGGGCTGTGGTTCTTTGTATAAGAAAAAAATATGTCAAACTAGAAAGCTATCGTAAGTTTAAGCTATACTTTATTTTCCCCGTAGGGAAAATCCATCCATCATCCATCTCAGGAGGAGAACAAGCAGCGCTCAGGGCTCATCTCCAGTTGATAGTCGGCTTGGTCAGGACTACCAGAGCTGGAGGATTGTATATATGGTGCATGGTTTGTGTGGTATAGGCAGTGTTGTACCAGTTCACAACTTTTCTGAACTAGTTCAAGTTCAGTTCATACATGCTCAAAGTGAACAGTTCACGTTCAAAGTTCACAATTTTAATTCTGAACTAGTTCAAAGTTCAGTTCATTTTACTTTTTTTGTGAAATAGTCAAATACTTTTTTTCACACTACGAGCTATAATATAAATATATATATATATATATATATATATAAATATATACGTACAACAGTACATGTATATATATATATATATATATATATATGTATATACATAGTTCCCACATGACGTCACTACATACGGGGATTTGCCGACCCGGCGACATTTGTATTGGCATGCTGTGGGCAAAACAATAGAAAAAGAAGCTGAAACGTGTTAATGTCGTGATAAAGTTGAAAATGGTCATCTCCTGCTGGGTCAATGGATGTTCAAATCGTGCCGGAGGTTCCGTTAAACTTGGATTTTACAGTATACCCATCATTAGACTTCATGAATGTGAGAAGACTAAGCTTTTGTCAGAACAACCACGGAGGTTATGGCTTGCGAAGATAAACAGGCAAGAAACTCCCTCAAAACACGCAAGAATATGCTCGGAGCACTTTGTGTCAGGTGCGTATCGTATCTTATAATGTGTTGACAGACGTAATTTACTCAGTACTAACTTGTGTATGCTGATAGCTGGTAACTTGAGAGTTTCATTATTTAGCGTTAGATTACTTTATTATGAGGAGGATCGGTGTCGCGTCCGAGGCTCTCGAGGGCAACGTAAATGTATTAAATAGATAATAATAGTTCTATGGTGGGCTAAAACAATGTTCACAAACAGCATTGCTTCTGTAAAAAGATCTGTGTCATAAAATAAACTGCTCTTTACGCCTGGAAAAATCAGTTGCCCACCATTCACCAAAACATACGGTCAAAAACGCGGAAATAAACAATAACAGCAATCCAGAGTGTCCGTGTGGCATTAGCATTAATTAAATTAATTGTTAATATAATTAAAATAATTAAATGGAGCTCCAACTGGTATTAAATCTAAAGTTTTTGAGAAATGTTTGCATTGCTTGTTAATTTTTGCTGCATAATTTGATCAAATATGTAAAACATGTCCGTAGCACGTTAAACTGTGGTGCCATTGTATTAATATACAATTATTTGCTCAAAAGTTGCCCTTTTTTTCCAATTTGCGTTTGAATATCTACATTTATTCTCATTCTTCTGTTTAATGGAATGCACGAACACAGCAGCGTGCCATCAAAGATGGCGTCTCCGAGGAGGTCATGTGACATTCATTGGTCTGTGGGAACTATGTATATATATCTCCTGTACACCCACAGGAGGAGAGCCTTTTGACCACAAAACAGACCAGATTTACATGGTTTTCAATGGGAGCCAAACGGAGTTGCTCCATCTCTGCTCATAAACTACAGACAGTAATGCGCTGCAGTGCGTGTGTCTATACTTTATGTCAAATGTAAACGGTGTAAACTTTGTCGCTAACTCACCCTGTGTTTTCATCACGACTCGGGCACGTGTGAAAAGCACCAGCTCACAGCGCCGCACCGCAACACAGAGTCGGGGTGTGTTCACAGACGGTGGAAACCGTAGGAATTTTTAGATTTCGGCGGAAAAAGTGCGAGAATACAGGAGGGAGGAACATTCTCTCGTTGCGTTTCAAAAGAGAAAACAGATTCCAACGTTCATAGAGATGTCTGCCGTTCATGACACATAAAATGAACTAATTCACGTTCAAGTTCTTTTTTTAAAAATGTGTTGCGTTCAGTTCAACGTTCACAAAAAAATGAGCGTGTTCAATGAACGCGTTCTTTTGAACTCGTTCACGCACAACACTGGGTATAGGAAACCGGGGCACCCAGAGGAAACCCACCCAGACACTTAAAGAAGCATACACAAACTCCACACAGAAAGACCTGAGCCGACATTGGACTGAACCCATGATTTTCTTGATGAATTCCATCTGTGATAACTTTGCAAACCAGATGTAGGCTTTGGTTTGTCATATAAAACACATAAATATATTTGTACCATGAGAATGCGTCTGTAGCTGTCTCGATCGATCCCCCAGAGCTTCAGATCAGTCTTGGCCTTCACCGTGGCTGCTCTGGGAGTCCCGTAGATCAGGGCCAGCTCTCCAAAACTCCCTCCTTCTCCGATATTGGTCACCCACTCTCCATTGACATACACCTGGACAAAAAGCATCATCAAAACATCAACCCTTTTGTCTCCTCAGATACGTTCCTAAACCTCCTCAGCTTCCGGCTCGTTTGATTTCCTCACTAAGTATTTGATCCAAGCTAAGCCGTTAAGTAAGACCCTTTAAAAGCACTCTATCCCCCTCACCTCCTCTCCCATCCCTTTTATTTGAGTTGTCCTGTCTTGTTAGTGCACTCCCTTTGATTTTGACTTGTGGTTGACTCTTAAAAGCGATTTGGGCCAGCTACAATGGTCTTTTGGACAATAACTCCTTGATACTGGCTGGCAATGTCTCTAGGGCTGTCACGATTTCACCTGCGCCGACACACAATCCACTCGCAGAGACTTAATAACAGTGAAAGAGAGAAAGAGAGAAAGGGTTGGTCCCATCGGTGACTCTTGGCAGCGTTGCATTCGGTTCACAATATACCACAGGGATTCAGCACTTTTATTGGCTTCAAAGAGATGAGGTCACCCAAATTACATCATCTGTATAAGGGTTTACCTGGATACTTTTCATGAGACAGTGGTATTTTGTTTCCTGCTTTTGGATTACTTTGATTCCCATAAAAGTCGATTGAATAATGTTGTGTAGAGGGCGAAATGAGGATTACAAACTATTCTCCGATTGCTTGCTTTGTAGTGGTTTGGGTTGATTGTAAAATATGTGTGTGTTAGCAAAGAATAAATGCATATATATTTGATGAAGTGATATCATACTAATGGGAACAGGTTGTACAGTATGTAACATTAGCCAAGAGAAAACAGGCCACAATATGTTTTTGTCATATACACTAATTCTCTGCATGTAACAGCTTTTTATGAGCATCAAGATAAGAAATTCACACGTACATTATTCTGTGTAAATAAACCATCCCACAAATGAGTGATGTGTGTCAGTAATTGCAGACAGAGGACTGTTTACATCAGTGGCAGGGCTGTCAGCTCTCGGCATCTTTATGGGATCGCTGCAGATTTATAGCAGCTCTAATGAGAGACATCTACGCACTTAAATAAGCCCCACGCTGGACTGAACTGCGACTGAGAGGCTGCCGATGTCTGTGCGATGCAAGATTTATCATTAAAGATATGTAGATGAATAGGATTCTCTGCAATGAACAGGATTTCTCTGCAATGGAATAAGTAGTTGAATTATTATGTAATTTTGAGTAATTTTATCCCAGAACTAGGTCCGGGTTACCCATAAATTGTCCCTTTTTAGGTGGTATTCAATATTTCGAATATTTGGGAGGAAAGGGGGATTCTAGTTTGTAATTGGTTAGACATTTTGAGAATAAACATGAATTTTCTTTAAAAACAGACTTTGAGAGTTCTGCATTATATTTACAGTGTTTATGGATAAGGGGTCAAGGGTGAATGCTTGGTTAACGCAGTCATCCAAACATATGAAGTACCTGGGCAGACATATTTGCCTTTACATCTGATCTGAGAAGGAGGGCTGATACTCCTACTAGACCACCGATCTAAAAGATGTTAATGTGGTAGTCCGACCCCTGGAGCTCGCAGGGCTAGTATAGCGCGGCTGTTCACAGGACAACACCGGAGGATTGTGGCTCTTACTCTCTGACCAGTTAACCACCGCTGACCCAGACCATAAACAGATCCTTTTGAACTTTCTTTGCAGAACACAAATGAGTCCTCGCAAACGTTTTAGTATGAAGCGTAACAGACCCAAATTGTACTTTCTGTTGTACAAACTCTGTGAGTACCTTTTTTCACATGAGTTATCAGGGTGTTGTTCGGCCTAACTGTGGTCAGCTGCAGAAAGAGATTATTGCTTGTAGAGGGAAGCCCCCTAACTCACTGTCTCAGAGCCAGTGTAATTTTTTCAGAACTGACCACAGAGCGCCATAATGCGAGAAGAAGCACACTGGACCTCTGAAATAGGACATCAGATTTTACGGGATCAGCATTTTTTTGTGTTTTATTTTCATTTGGATGTGTGGAAGACCTGTGTGTGTGTGTGCTTGCGTGCATGTGTGTGTGTGTACGTTTTATGAAATAACATTATTTGGTTTAAACAAATAATTCCCTTAGTGATGCACTTTTCTGATGGCTACATTTAACTAGAATAAAGAAACATACATATAATACTGCATTTGCATTGCCTCGTGTTTGTTGCTTGAACAACCGTGTTGTTGGAGCTATATTTAAAGGAACAATATCTTCAGCCAGGGTTTCTCCATTTCCCTGCTCTTGGCTGTGGGCAGCCTGTATCAGCGTGGCACTACTCTGTCTGTGCCCTGTGTACCAGCCTCTGTAAGCTGATAAGGCCACTTCCTGTTTAACTCTCAGTCAGCTCCCCTTTATCTTTCCACTTTACTCCACCACTCACTTCAGCCTCACTAAGACAAAGCTATACGCTGATTGTCATCAGAGCTGACCTCAACTGTGTAAAGGACAAAACAGGAATACAACCTGTGCATTGTCATAGAGATGTATCACAGTTTGAGCTGGAAATCTTTTCAGATAACAGTGAATAAGCTTTTCTACAGTTGTACACTTAAATAAATCATCTGGTCTATAGAAGCTACTTACATCCACTTCTCCTTGGTCAATCACATAGAAGTTGTCTCCTTCGTCACCTGAAAGATAAAAAAATACTCATTTAGGTTTGCATGTACTGTATATACACGATACATGTACAACCAAACGATGACCCAAAAAAAACATTTACTTCTAGTGGACTAGAATTAACCAGTAAAGTAACAATACACGTTTTGCACCACTGCTGTGTCACTCAGTGGAAAAAGCCTCCAGGTTTTGTAAGGTAGATAAATCACATGTCCTGATTTTATGAATAAAATTCTACGTTATACATTTTTATTTCAATTAACTAGGCATACAGGTAGATTATACTTGAATGGGTTGCACAGTGATAGACATTCAAAGTAGCAGAAGCACAAGTATTCAACAATAATATTCACTCTCGCTCCAAAGACTTCTGACAGGGCAAGATGAATCATGGCTCTCACTAACATGTATTTAAGATTTGGGACTACAATAGTCCGTGTTAAAACTTTTCTCTCATATTTGTAGCACATTGTGTCTGGGGATGTTCTTGTGTGGCTTTACTTGAGGAGTTGAAAGAAGCAGAGCACCCTGTGAGTAAAGTTCACAAGAGTTCACACGGCTAATTAATAGAGAGCAAAGAGTGGCCATCCATCATAGTGCTCTATTTGTCAATGCGATGCTCCATGTGTCTGAGGTCTGCACAGTGAGAGACCCTCAGTCCTGCTACTCTGTCCCTCTTTCATCTCATCTATCTCTCGTCCAGCTCCCTCTCGCTCTCCCGCTCTCCCGCTCTTCCTGTCTTTTATCACATACGTATTCAGGTCTTTGTTTGGCACCACTCTAGCCCCCTGCGCCCGAGAGTGAAGGCAAATATTTGGCTTGAACATCCATACACAGTGGCATGTGCATTTGTTTCAACACACTCTATTGATGTTTTCTGGCTACTTTCTCAAAGCTGCATCTACAAGGCTCTTACCTGCAAAATTATACAGTGTTCAAATGGCCCAGGTTCCACAACTCGCAATGATCCGAGGCCTAATTCAAAAGTTCTTCTGCACATATCTGTTGACTTTCAGTTTAAAAGCTCTCCTATTAGTGAGAAGATCTTGCGCGGGATGTTCTGAAACTGACATTACACCAACCGTACACTGTATATATATAACAATGGGATCCGGCGCTGGTAAAGTCAACTCCAAATTAGGACTGATCTCCTCAAGGCTGCAGTGTCTAGAGACCGTGGGCGCGGTCTGCGGGTGGTACAAGCCTGCACTGACTTACGTGCACGTGTATTATCTGTACCAGCGTGTAGGGCTTTGTGTGAATGTGCGTCTGACTGTTTACATTGTGTCTGTTTGATAACGATTTGAGTGGGCTGCGTGGGGGCACTGGAAAAATACAATCTGCCCCTGGTGATCTGGAATCCTTCAAAGTCTCATCTGAATAGTGTGAAGTGAGAAAGAAAGGAGAATGATGTGAACCGAGCCTCATGCTTGTAAGAATGCATGATGTAAATCATTGGAGACGTGAAAAGGGAGATTAAAACAAAGCCCCAAACAACAATGATTGTATAATAGTAGATAATGTTGGACCAATATGACAGTTATCCTGAATGAGGAAGTATCCTGCAACATTATTTAAATTAAAGCTATACCACTGGTTCCCAAAGTGAGGGGATGGGACCTGGGGGTGACCCTATCTCACTTAAATAAATTGAAAGTGTAAATAAATTAACACCTGTCTGAAGTATAAAACAAAACACTGGCTTTATCCTGTTTGACAGTTCTAGTGATTACTTTTGAACATTGAAACCAGCGGTGGTGGTTGCCCTTTGATTTCACACATACTTTGCATATTTTGAGAACCACAAGCTTACTCTGACTTTAAAAAACAATTACTACATTTTAAGGATGTGGTACAAACCTCTAAAATAGCAGCAAAAAGACTTATATACTGCAGCAAAAAGACTTATATACTTTTTATCCTGCACTATTTAACTGTACAGTATATAACTCTGCACTACTACATATATATTTTGACTGGTATCGAAGCATTTTCAGCATCTACAGCTAGTTATGTTAGTTAAGAAACATAGCTACTACTTATTTGTATATATTGTGTGTGATCCCTGTGTGCTCTTACTACTGTCCTATATGTGCGATGCAACATCAAAATTTCCCCACTGTGGGACGAATAAAGGAATTCTTATCTTATCTTATCTTGTTACGCAATGATAGAAATGGTTCAATAAGGCATAATATCAGGCCTATATGAAGGATTTGAGGCATCCCTGAAACCTGCCTTTCGCTGACAAATCTGCATTTGCAAAGCCTTGGACAAGCCGAGGAAATAACATGGATCTGATTCAACACACATTGAATACATACCTTGTTGGATGACCGTTTCACCAGCGATGTGCGTCACAGGGAACATGGCATCAAATATGTCACTAGAATAAAAAAAAACACAGAGACAGAAAGACATTAAGCAAAAAGGCCTTTTTATTTTCTTTAAAGGTGTACTTTGACATTACTGCATCGAAGATAAGAGCCAGCATAATCAGCAAGAAAACTCTGTCATCTCCGGCCATTATTCATTGCCAAGCAGGTAGCAAAGCCAATGAGACCGGGAACTCTGGATGACCCCCAAGACACGCCACAGCTATTTGAATGTGAGCAGAGTATCTGTAGAAAGCATCAAACACATTTTATTCATGAAAAAAAACTTCAAGCAAGAGTCTTTAAGAGTGTAAGTAGTTCTATGAAAGCTCTTAAAACTGAAGTACCTAACCTTATAAGTAATAGACAAGTTTCTTCCAACAAAAATAGATTGGACAGAAAGGTTTGGACCAGAACTTTACCATTGGCCTTTATCTTAAGAAAACATTACAACTTTGACATACTGAAAGCTGATTGGCTGAGAGAGGGTTGGTACTCTCTTTTTCACTGAGAAATCTGATCAAAAGACGTGACAGAGGCCAACAATACTGTACATGCATGTGGGAACTAGTCACAGAACTAGTTTTGAGAGCAAAGAGCTAGTTACAACGATTTCATTACAATAATTAACATATTTGTTGTGGTTTCAAAGTTAGGAATCAATTACTGGACCCTGAGCCCCACTCATACAACTCTGAGAACTGTGCGAATATAACAATGTAATCGTTGTCACTGAGCATCTTCGTAACCACGTCATCTCTCAACAATTCTGTAGCCGTAGAAAGTGTTCTATTTCAGTCAAACACACTGATTTGTCTATTAAACCATATTGGCGCCATTTGTGCCACTGAAAGCCTCCATTGACAACAAACACATCACCCTAAGCACTTAATTTGTACTTTTAGGGAAAGTGCCAGTTTGTAATCGGAACGTTTAAATGCATGAAGCCCTCTCAGATTAACGTGGGGATGTGTTGGGACAAGAGAAAACCCTATATGCTTCCTCTCCTCCTTCCTAACCCATTTCTAACCTTGAGGGTGTATTTGTCTATCTAATCTGCAGCATACCAGTTGTCTTAAAGAATTATAGGCATGGATCTATAAAAGACGGTCCCCATATCAAAGAGAAGAGGTTCAGACTGGAAACCAACTTGTGCGTGAACGTTTAAATTCCTTATTAAAACAAACGACGCTTGCACAAAAATGATACACTTGCTAATCTGCGGGGAGAAGACGTCATGAAAGAGATCTGATAGTTCTAGTTGGATCGGACTGAAGCAGCTTCTTGTGGCATTAGCTTATGTGACAATGAATAAACAAAGTGGTGGATTCTGGCCAATTGCCCCTACAGCTGGCCCCTGATTCCCTTGTACAACAACAGTCACTACCCACAGCCCGGGCATCTGCGGAGAAAATAGAAAACATTCGGTCTTTGAAGTGCACTAATGACCTGATATGCATGCAAACTGGTAATAATATTGTAACTGGCTCTCAGATACTACAGCGCGGATATTAGGTCACTTTATTTGTGATTAGTCAAACCGACATCTGCAAGGTGACTCTATCCGGGGCCAGCTGCACTTTTATTTGGAGACCTTGATAAACTCTTGGTGGATAAATAATGGCCGACTACTTAATTGAAAACATAATAAACAGAAAATTGTAATTGTCACCAGTCAACACATCACCATAAAAAACGTTCTCCAAGCAGCGGTTTTGTCAGTCACGATATGAAAGTATTTGCGAAAGGTCTGTAGTATGATGTGTACTCCAACTTTTAGAGGGTCCATTACATGACCAAACGTCCTACCCATAGTCTGTAAAAAATAATGGACGTAATCACGCTTATCGCCTCCGTTCTAACTAATGGGCCAAAAATAGTGCTCTACTGGAGCTATCCAAAATGGTCCCGCCCACAAGAAAAAACGCATCTGCGCATGCGTCACTCCCAACTAAACTAGAGTGGTCCAAAAAAATTCACCCCCCTCAGCATTGACACACATGTGGAACGGAGCTTTGGGCCAAGAGCCAAGTTTTGGACCATCCTGTAAAGACGTTTTCGAGAGGTCTGCCAACGCTATACGTTAGCATTGGCTAATTCATATTCCGGGTCCATCCCCATCGGCCCGGGGTGGTATTGCAAGCATGTCAGCGCACGGCATTTTGGCCACTTTTGAGCTGGGACCCGCCCCCACTGGTCCTACTGCACAAATCTAATACTGATCTCCTTCCAGTTTTAGTTCCATCCATCTTCTACCCTTTAATCCATTTCTGGGTCAGGGGGGTGACAGTCAGAGATGCCACCCAAGTCTCATAGCACCAGCCCCTCACTGACCCTCTGCAGGTGGTGAGTCCACAGGAGGACGGCTGCTCTCTGAGTGTGAGCATAGCCTTGATCTTTCAGTGGGGGCTTTGGGCAAAGTGGGGTTAAGTGTCTTGCCCAAGGACACAACGACAGCAGTTATCAGTGGGAGTCGGTGGAGAAGGTGCAGAGGTGGGAATTGAACCCACGACCTTCTGGCCTTAAGGCCAATGCTCTACCAACTGAGCTACTGTCGCCCCAGTTTTAGTTCATTTTTAGAAATAATGCATGTCTTTCTATTGATTTTTTGATTTTCCTCATAGATTATACTTTCATTCATTCCTCAGGACAACTCCAGTTTTATTTCAATCCTCTCCTGTCTTTTGCCTAGTGTTATTTTGGTCCTCTACTGTCTTTAATTCTCAGCGACCTCCATCCGTTTTTGATGCTCTTCCATTTCGCCAAAATCACAAAGAACCGGCGTAACCTGCTAACCGGCTACATACTGTAAACATACAGAGTCAACATTCCACAGTGAGGCATTGAGGTAAACCAATTATTATTGTACACATTACCTTTACAATTAGAACATCTGAAAACACCTCCCAACCCCTCTCCTGCCCTCTGTCTGAGGCCAGGACTCTGATTCTGAGATTCTGAATCTCAGTTTTCTTTGAAGGTTGTGTTGTTTGTTGGTTTTTCATCCACAAATAAAGCATTTGCACCAAGAGAACCAGAATCGGACCATTTAAAGTAATCCAGTTTGAACGTGCCCTAAATATACAGCCATCTGCAAAAAATAACTGCAAATATATGTAATTTAACTCATTTGATAAGATTTGTAAAAACTTGAGCTGGAAGCTGTCTTGTCTTTCTGAACCGGAAACCTTGTGCACGACCTGTGATGCTGACAGTGATAATGATGCATTAGCGGAGACCAAGCCACGCAGTCATCAAAGACACAGCTCAGGTAATTACCCTTGACCGCCTTTCTTATTGCACGGGCCGCCACTCCGCGACCCGCCCTGAACGCACCGCTGAGCACAACAAAGACGCTCGCGCATATAATTACTTCCCCTGTCTTTACCTGTCCCTCTTTCCCTTTTCTTCATTCCCAACTTCCTCCATCACTTTTTTCGCTCTCAATTACCCCTTTCTTCCATGGACTTATCCGACAGATCCTCCCATCTCCTGGTCTGTCACCCCTCCCGTCTGTCAAAGAGGAGCGATTAATCTTGCCCCTGTGGTCTACCTGTAGTCGGCATGACCTTATAAAAGCCCTGTGCGCTACTCACAATGGATGCGCTGTTCTGACAGACACGGGCCGAGACACTGCGCTCCTAGGAAATGCAAGACAACACTCATGTCACGGTTCAGATGCTTGAAGATACAATGGCGTGTCCCAAATATGGAATACAAAAAATGACTTGTTTGCCTTCTTTTATGCTCGCCATGTTTTGATTCTATTTAACTATGTACAATGCATGCAAATGATCTCGCGCAGATTTCATGTAATCAGTTTCTTTGGCGATCAAAGAGAAAGTGTAAACACGTCACAGATTAGACATGAAGATTATGGCAATTGCGCGTTGTCTCTGCTTGTAGGTGCGAGGTTTTGAATGATTTTAATTGTCTAACCCTGCCCTGATGTAAATAATGCACAAGAGAGAACCTGTTTGTAATTGTATGCCATAAAGTTGGGGTGATTTTAAGGCAATAGCGTAAAAAACAACATCATTTTGAGTTGAATTTGCGTTAATAAAATTTATAGTTTATGTAATACTTTGAATGATGAGACAGAAAGATCTTGCATAAGCATATCACTAGTAATTGCAATCCAAAAAGACTAAGTACCTGAACAGCAGGGGCCTAATTAACAACATTGTGGGCGGTGGGTGCAGTTACATAAGAGAAATTCAATTAACTGCCAAACCAACTCTAGACGTACAGCAAAATTACAATTTCTCAACCATCATTCTTTGACATATTATAACCTTGTTTATAGAATATTGACTTACATAAGCATTTATTTCATCCGGTGTACTGTCTGAGTGGAACAAGTTTTGCAATAACAGCAGAGGGAAGTTCCCAGCTCTCTTTGTGCCTCAGCTTGGCAGCACCATGCCACTGGTTTGGCTGGCACACTGCTCAAACCATAAGTGCTTGAAGGATTAATTTTCACTACCACAGCTTCAAGAGTCATTTAGACAACTGCTACTGGCAAATAAACAATAGTTTTGTTATGTAATTATGTGGAAATGATTTATACATAAGCAAGATAAAAATGCAGACTGAATCAACACATTGTTAGAAACTAGAAAGTATATAAATAAACAACAAAAGTGAGTCATAAAATTGTCAGTTGACACAAACTTTGATTTTACTACAACAAATGGCTGTATTGTCTTTTCTGGCCAGAGGTCCGCCACCCGTTGCACAGAAATGCTACTGCTGTCCCTGATTTAATAAAAAATATTGATGATACTGTATACAGGTCTATACTTTTTAAAGAATGAAGTTACAATTTCTAGTCTTCATTGGTAGTCAAAATAAAGACAAACTTTCGGTACTGAGATAAATTCCTCATCCACACTGCTGAACAACTTGAATGTTATGAATAAGAATAAGATATTGTTTTAAACATTAAAACTGTTGAATCCGTTCCCCGTAAATAACCCATTACCCATTACCCATTATGCATTATTGTTGT